CCTTTTTTGGTATGGGGATATAAGTTGATTTTTTCCAGTCTGATGGCCATTCTTGTGTTTTCTATATTTGCTGGCATATGGCATGCATCACCTTGACAGCATCATCTTTTAAGATTTTAAACAGTTCAGCTGGGATCCCGTCGTCTCCTGCTGCCTTGTTGTTAGCAATGCTTTTTAAGGCCCATTCAACCTCACTCCTCAGGATGTCTGGTTATTATTTATTTATTTGATTCATTTATTAACCGCCATTCTCAGCCCTTACGGGCGACTCATGGCGGTGTACAGTACACATAAAAGACAGTTACAAAAGTCAGTATCTACAAACACATAGCTATACAAACAACTACAAACTACATAAAAATCCGCTTCGTCTCTTAGTAGAATCATAGGCCAGTCTCATCGTCCTTATATCATTCCAGTTCTCATTACCATAATGTTACCATGATGTTGTTACTAGCACTTAATTAAATGCCCTCTCGAACAGCCAGGTTTTAAGGCTTTTTCGAAAGGACATGAGGGAGGGCGCCTGTCTAATGTTTGCCGGGAGAGTGTTCCACAGCCGGGGAGCCACCACCGAGAAGGCCCTCTCCCTCGTCCCCGCCAGCCGTGCCTGTGATGCTGGCGGGACCGAGAGAAGGGCCTCCCCAGACGATCTCAAGGTCCTCGTGGGCTCGTAGGCCAAGATGCGGTCAGCAAGGTATTTTGGGCCGGAACCGTTTAGGGCTTTAAAGGCCAAAACCAGCACCTTGAATTGGGTCCGGTAGCAGATCGGCAGCCAGTGGAGTTGGGACAACAAGGGCGTTGTGTGCTCCCTGCCACCCGCTCCAGTTAATAACATGGCTGCCGCACGCTGAACCAGCTGAAGCTTCCGGGCCGTCTTCAAGGGCAGCCCCACGTAGAGAGCGTTGCAGTAGTCCAAGCGGGATGTGACAAGAGCGTGTACCACCGTGGCCAAGTCAGACTTCCCGAGATACGGGCGCAGCTGGCGCACGAGCCTGAGCTGTGCAAATGCTCCCCTGGTCACCGCTGAAACCTGGGGATCCAGGCTCAACGATGAGTCCAAGGTCACACCCAAGCTGCGAACCTGCGCCTTCAAGGGGAGTGCGACCCCGTCCAGCACAGGCTGTAACCCTATATCCCGTTCGGCCTTACGACTGACCAGGAGTACCTCTGTCTTGTCTGGATTTAATTTCAATTTGTTCGCCCCCATCCAGACCGTCACAGCGGCCAAGCACCGGTTCAGGACCTCGACAGCATCCTTAGTAGCAGGTGGAAAGGAGTGACAGAGTTGGACATCATCTGCGTACAGATGACACCGCACCCCGAAACTCCGGATGATCTCACCCAGCGGCTTCATGTAGATGTTAAACAGCATGGGGGACAGTATGGAACCCTGAGGCACCCCACAAGTCAAAGGTTGTGGTGCGGAACAGGAGTCCCCCAATGACACCTTCTGGGTGCGACCCTCCAGAAATGACCGGAGCCACTGCAAAGCAATGCCTCCAAGACCCATTTCCGCAAGGCGCCCCAGAAGGATACCGTGGTCGACGGTATCGAAGGCCGCTGAGAGGTCCAGGAGCACCAACAGGGACACACTCCCCCTGTCTAGCTCCCGGCGCAAATCATCCACTAAGGCGACCAAGACCGTCTCAGTTCCATGTCCCGGTCTGAAACCAGACTGTGCCGGATCCAGATAATCCGTGTCTCTCAAGAATACCTGGAGTTGTGAGGCCACCACGCTTTCCATGACTTTGCCCAAAAAGGGGAGATTGGAAACAGGCCGAAAGTTGTCCAATTTAGTTGTCCAATTTAATTCATTCACCACACCGTCAAAGCTATCCTCGATATTATTATCCTTCCTATACAGATCTTATGTATATTCTCGCCACCTTCTCTTGATCTCTTCAGCTTCTGTTAGGTCCCTGCCATCTTTGTTTCTTATCATACCAATTTTTGCCTGAAATTTACCTCCAATGCTTCTAATTTTCTGGAAGAGGTCTCTTGTCCTTCCTATTCTGTTGTCTTCTTCCACTTCCATGCATTGCTTATTTAAAAATAGTTCCTTATCTCTTCTGGCTAACCTCTGGAATTGCGCATTTAACTGGGCATATCTCCCCTTATCCCCGTTTCCTTTTGCTTCCCTCCTTTCTTGGGCTACTTCCAGTGTCTCAGCAGACAACCATTTTGCCTTCTTGGTTTTCTTTTTCTTTGGGACGTACTTTGTTGCCGCCTCCTGAACAATGTCTCGGACTTCTGTCCATAGTTCTTCTGGGACTCTGTTTACTAAATCTAGTCCTTCAAATCTGTTCTTCACTTCCACTGTATATTCGCTAGGAATGTTAGTGAGATCATATCTAACTGGTCTGTGTATTTTCCCTGATCTCTTTAGTTTTATTCTAAATTGTGCATATAATTCTATGATTATATGGTGTTAAACTTTTTTTCTTTACTTTACTTTCTTCCTATACTAAATAATGTATATAACGATATCCCACCCCTCTATGTCTTTGATGATACAATACTCATGTGTAGAACTATTTAACTAACACAACTCCATATAGCCTCTCATGTTCTCCATCTTTCCCTTCTTTTTTTCCTTTTTTGCTGTTTATTTGAGTTATTAAAAAAAATAAAGAGCAACACAGAAACAAAAGCTAAAAGTTCTGACAATTTGCAAACTAATTAGGTCACCAGCTACAGACAGTATACTTCCTGGAGTTCAAACCAAAAATAGATGTGAAAAACCAATGTACACTAAACTGGTCTCCTTGCAAGGCCCTTATAAAACCAAATTTAAAATGGGCATCAAGAAGGCAAATTACTTAATATTTAGTCCAGTTAACTGGTGTTAAATAGTGGTGTTAAATAGAACTTATGCAAGGAAGCAAAAATATTAAATATAAAGAGCTTAAAAACTACCAACATGGAAATTTCCTGCTTTGTCAACATTTCAAAATGTTAAGAAGAATGTGCAAAAGGGCAAAATTGCACACTTTGGTCTTAAAAGGCCTTGAGAATTTCCCTGACTCTTTAATAATTTAACAAACATGATATAAGAACACTGGTTCTCCCATGAGTAGAAAAAGGTTAACACAGTAGGAAGTAGAAAGTAAGAAACAGATAGTTCTTACAATGGTGGCTAACAGAGGAATATAATGAAATCCGCTAATAAAATCAGCCAATTTATCCACCTATTCAAATATTGTTGTCAGTAACTGGAAGCACCACTCCACAGTTTCTTGCTCTATTTAGATCAAACCTAAAAACTTCTGTGTGTAATGTACTTCTCAGGGGAGTGGAGTCCTCTGTAAAAAAGGATTTTTTTTTTTTACAAATTATGTAGAGGATAAATTGACCAATGGCTTCCAACATCAGAAGCCATAAATATTTGTGCTTTATGAACAGTACCATTCTGATCTTGGGAAATTAGTTGTTAAAAGGACAACTCTTCCAACAATTATGACCAGTGGCCATGCTAGCTGGACATTATGTGAACTGTAGGCAAAAAAAGCAAATTTTCCAAGTTCGGGTGCTATACCACTTATATCTGTCTTGTGAAGTTCCCACAGACATCTAGCTAATCACTCTGGTGACAGAAGGCTGGACTAGAAAACAAAGGAATTTAAAAAATGCAATAAAAAGGTAAAGGTTTCTCCTTGACATTAAGTCTAGTTGTGTCCAACTCTGGGGGCTGGTGCTCATCTCCATTTCTAAGTTGCAGAGCTGGCATTGTCTGTAGACACCTCCAAGGTCATGTGGCCTGCATGACTGCATGGAGCACCATTACCTATTGATCTACTCACATTTGAATGTTTTTGAACTGCTGGACAGAAGCTGGGCCTAACAGTGGGAGCTCACCCTGCTTCCCAGATTCGAACCGCCAAGCTTTCGGTCAGCGGGTTCAGCAGCTCAGTGGTTTAACCCACTGCTCCACCAGGGGGCCCAAATACAATAAATTACACATATATGTATATGAAAACTTTTACCAAACACAGCCACAGAATTGACATACGGTGGTAATAGAATGCAAATCCAAACTCATGATTGAAAGTTGACTGGGTAGACCTGCCAGAGGACATGGGTGTTCAATTGCGTTTTAAATTTTGACACTTTGTTTAGCTGTTGGAGCTCTTCCAGCAGGTTATTCAAGTCCTGGAGCAGTCAACAGTCAGGTTCTGGCTGGTTGGAGGAGCTGCCCCCCAGAGGACCTCAGTGTCCTAAAGGGACATGATGTTTGTCTCCTTGAATGGCTGCCTCCCTCCTCTGATTCCACAAGAGCAATGACACACCGGAGCTATTAATGCAGTTCAGGATAACAGGCTAGGCTGAAGGATTCATTTTACGTTCTAGCACCATAGCATTTATTGATACACCGTAAAAATGTAGCTGGATATCATTTGGATTGCATGAGTAGTTTTTAAAATTCCAAGCTAAGCCACAGACCAGAATCTGTATTGTAGCTATAGCCAAAGTGGCTACAACAGCTGCCATTTCAAATTCATAGCAGCTGGGAAGCAATAATAATAAAAGGCATAGGCCCATTCCATGCAGAAAAAGAAAAATGCATCTTCTTCTTTTTTTAAGAAAGAAGAATGGAGTGAACATCAAGTACAATAAAATCTATGGAGTATTTTTACAATGCTCTTTCTACCCTGAAAGATAGAATTCAAAAGTGGCAGAATTCTTTGTAAATGCTTTGAGATAAATAATTAGACAAAAGCTCTTACTGCTATAAAAGGTCACAATCCAAATTTTAAACAGACAGAATCAGATGTTCTTGTGACCGTTCAAACCACTAATCAGCTGGGTACCAACAAAATCACACTCAGAACTCATAATGGTTCACTGATTATAATTCTGCATATCCCTTTGGAAGTTTAGTGGGTCTGTGGCCACCTTTAAATGCTGACAAGCAATAAAGCAGTCTAAACTTCTGCATTCATCATAAAGCTTTATGCTCCTCTGTTGTTAATTGCTTTGTATGCTCTCTTTTTTTTTACCTCAGGCTTGAGTAGGGCTAGCTCATTAAAGATGTCCAGCTGCCTTGTGAGTTCTGCCATCTCAGTCATCAGTTTTGCCATTCGAGCATCAATGTCCGCCAGGATTTCCGTGGTATGCACAATGGCCAACGCTTCCTGGAGATCCAACAGGTGGAGAGCTTGTCGCTCTTCTTCACAAATCTGGTGCCGCACTTTGGTAAACTCTTGCTGAATGCATTGCTTCATATCACCCTGTGTCACCTGAAATGTAAAGAGTAATGGGTTTTTTAATTGTTGCTATTTGGAATCTGAATAATCTAAAATTCTACTGAAAGTTTGGATGTGAACTAGCAAATGTGTGCAGTATTTAGTTATAGCAACCTCATGAATTTCATAAGAATTTTTTTTTTAGGCAAGGAATGCTCAGAGGTGGTTTTGCAAGGTCCTTCCTCTGAAATAAAGATTATAGCATCTGGTAATTGTTGGCACTCTTCTATCCAAATACTAACCAGGGACGGCCCTATTTAGCTTCCAAGATGGAATCTAGTGCTTTTAGGTACTGAAAAATATGTTGAAACAATAATAGTGCTTACAAGCATTTGAAATACAGCACATCCCAGCCTTAAATATGACCTTGTGCTATCATATGATACAGGAATATATTTGCTTATATGATTCAAAACTTGAGATTAGGTGGAAAATCATGTTGCTAAATGACATTTCAAGTGCATTTTAAACTCTGTACAGTATTCTTGGGTATTAGTTTTGAGTTGTATAAGGAAGGGGTCTTGGAATACTCTATGGCATTCTCTTACTAATACAACATATATATTTCTACCCATTATGTGTATTTCTTTCAAACACCTTTTTTGTTATTTAGATGTGTTTTCTACCACAGAACATGGATTGCAATAATTAGTTTTTTAAAAAGAATACAAGAAAGTGCATATGTTTGCCCCCTATCCTCCAAAAAACAACAACAGACAAACAAAGTTACTTTAAAAGTATTTAGTTAGTTAAAACATTTATATTCCACCCTTCTCTCCCCAAAGGGGACTCTGGTTGGAGCACAACATATAAAATAAACTATAAAATAAACTATAAATATACACAAACACTAAAATCAGTTGTACCTACTTTAAAATCAATTGTTTAAACCATCTCAAAAACAACCATATTGGCTCTGATCAGCAGAGTTGTTGATGTTGTTTATTCGTTCAGTCGCTTCCGACTCTTTGTAACCTTATGGACCAGCCCCTGCCACTGTCGGCCGTCACCACCCCCAGCTCCTTCAAACTTCAAGGATACCATCCATCCATATTGCCCTTGGTCGGCTCCTCTTTCTTTTTCCTTCCATTTTCCCCAGCATCATTGTCTTCTCTAAGCTTTCCTGTCCCCTCATTATGTGGCCAAAGTACTTCATCTTTGCCTCTAATATGAGCAGTCGGGCTTCCTGTAGTATGGACTGGTTGGATCTTCTCGCAGTCCAAGGGAGTGGGTTCCCTATTATTGCCTTATTGCACTGTCCCAAAGGCTTGGTCCCACAGCCAAGTTTTTACCATCTTTCTGAAGGACTGAAGGGCTGATCTAATCTTGCCAAGAAGGGAGTTCCATAGCCAGGGGGGCAATCACTGAGAAGGCCCTCTCTCTTGTCCCCACCAATTGTACCCATGACAATGGCGGGACCGAGAGCAGGGCCTTCCCAGAAGATCTTGGTCTCCATGGTAGTTCATAGAGGGAAATGCATTTGGTCAGGTAAACTGGGCTGGAGCTGTTTAGGGCTTTAAAGACTAATGCCAGCACTTTGGATTGTGCCCAGTAGCAACTGGCAGCCAGTGGAGCTGATTCAAATACTGTAATAATAGCAAAATCTATATACAGGAAGAAGAACTATAATTGCAATAAATTATTTTTAAAAATTAACATTCCAAGCTCTGTCATTTCTACACATGCTCTAAAAAGAGAGAGGATAAAAGTGGACTGATGAGGAAATGTCTGAAATAGGAGCAGATCAAAGGATGAGAACAGCTACATCAACGTGGACAAATTGTGGCTCTCCAGAAAATGTCAGACTACAAACCTCTTTGCTTTCACCAACATATGGATCGGGGAGCTGTATGTTAACCACAACTGTGGGATCACAATGTGTTCATCCCTACATTAAATGCATAAGGAAAAAAGCCTTGAATTACAAATCAGATTTGATTCAGAATCTCAATTACTTTTATATTAGAAATTCAACAACACGCAGGCGCACATACACCTAATTTGTTTTAAAGAGAAATATCTTAAGATAACAGAACAAATTCTAGACTAGAAAATGACAGCAACAGTTTTCATTCTTCTGAGAGTCAGTATCAACACCCTTCTCAGAGTCTGCTAATGCAGAAGAACATTCAGTTTCCTCCCAGCAAGAGCCACAAATCTATGCATAAATTCACGCTTCTTAAATAGGATGGCTTATTTACAGCTTCCAGAGTGCGTTTTAGCTTTTTGGAGCAGCTTGAGCTTTTCTGAAGAGTTTTACCACCCACATCAATTTCATGCATTTTTGTTTTCTAGAGCTCCCAAAGTGGTGGTTCATGGGCCAGTGCCGGCTCACATGCCACCAGAGGCCAGTCCCTGGAGAGTATTTAGAAAATAAACTGCAAATCGCTTTTGGTGTGAGAAAATTGACCACAAGAACATTGCCAGGGGACACCTGAATGTTTTTGATGTTTTCATCATCCTTGTGGGAGGCTTCTCTCATTTCCCTGCATGGGGAGCTGGAACTGACAGAGGGAGCTCAACCGCTCTCCCCGGATTCAATCTGCAGTTTCTCAAGTCACTCCTGTCACAAAAAAAATCTAGAAAATAATGAAATAACTGTACTTAGTAGATACAAATATGGTACTAGTCCCTGGTACAACGGGGGGGGGGGGGAATGTTGATCCCCAAATCAGATAGCTTAAGAAGCACTGTTCTAGTGAATAATGAAAAAGTATAGACAAAACAACAGTAAAGTCAAATGTTCCTTGTCCCAGCATAAAGGACTGAAGCCCTAAACATGCATTTTGCTGGAAAGAGCGGCTAGAACCCACGCTCTTGAACACGTGCTTTTCCAAGGCTCTGTCAGGGAAGTACTACTTCCTGAGCATTATGAATATCTAGCAAAGATTCACCTGGCCTGCTGTAAAAATGTGCTAGAAATTGAGTTTCTTCCAACAGGATCAGTCAAAACAGGCACTCCAATTCTGTCCTGACAGCTATAGGATTTCTGTAGCACTGCATATGAATACAAACTGGCATTGACTAACCTATAAAAACCAGAAGCTGTAAATCACAGATGGGCACTCTTTTCAACACCAGAAAATGTGCATACTAGGTTCTTGTGGGTTTTTTCGGGCTATAGGGCCATGTTCTAGAGGCATTTCTCCTGAAGTTTCGCCTGCATCTATGGCAAGCATCCTCACTACCTCTGAGGATGCTTGCCATAAATGAAGGCGAAACGTCAGGAGAAATGCCTCTAGAACATGGCCCTATAGCCCAAAAAAACCCACAAGAACCTAGTGATTCCAGCCATGAAAGCCTTCGACAATACAATGTGCATACTGTTTTCTTTTTTCTTTTTTTAAAGAAACACTTTCTTTGGGAGGGAAGCACAGACTGCAAACCAGAACAACCAAGCAGAATCTTTTTACACATTGGTGTAATTGCAATGGCAAAAAAGAAAAGTAAAAACTTAAAGCATCAGAAAAAATATCCTTCCCCTAAAAAAAATATGCCAACAATTAGATACAGCAAAAAGCATGAGCCACACATTCCCTCTTCAATTAGCACTACCCAAAGGTGAAGAAGTTTTAAAAAAGAAAGAAAAAAAAAGAAATGAAACCTTCTTTTAGAAACTGCTCATGAGGCAATCTCTGGAGGGTGAAAATCTTGCACAGGTCAAGGGTAGGAAGCAGCAAAAACAGACTGCTGAAACAGCTTACTTGCTTCAGAAGCATTCATCCCATTAGCCAGATATCCTGCCAGGTAGAAAGCTAGCCAAGCCAGCCCTTCACCTTCAGAAGGAAGTACAGGAAATGGCAGTGTAATTTCAAGGACAGGTCTGATTAAAAGACAAATGCATATTTTACAAGGATGCCCATGTGGATTGGCCTGTGTTTATTTATAGCTGTTAAACACTATTTAAAAAATAGTCCAAAGTCATTTGCAGGAACAAAAAACATTATAATGACACAATTTTCTAAAATTCACTAAAAATGTAGGAAGGGGAAAACAAGGTTAGCTAAATACTTGCTGGAAAGGGAAAATCTGCAGCTTTTCTGATAGTGAGACAAACTTCCTGGACTCTTCTAGAAGAGGTTCCAAGTCTTAAGGACTTTACCCATAATAAAGAAAGGATAGAGAATTATGCCTGCCACCAGCTTCATATGCCAAATTGTAAAAACTAAGGTTGTTCTATGTCCTTTTCTTGAACATGTCCTTTTTTTCAGAGCTGAAGTTTCTTTCTAATCAGATTTTCAAAATGTCTAAGCAGATCTTTAAAATGTCCACTGTTGCTGACCACCAATGTCATCTTTCATTGTCATCTCACCACCTCTATGAAGAGCTCTGCTAGAAGAATAGACAGAGATCAACTCATGAGAGAGAAAGAGAGAGCACAAATGCACTATAATTCTACAGTGCATTTGTGCTCACTCTCTCTTTCTCATGAGTTGATTTCTGACTATTCTTCTAGCAGAGTTTGACCTCATTTTAATTGCCATGGTTCAATAATATGGAATTCTGGGATTTATAGTTTGATGAGCCACAAGCACTTTGGTAGAAAAATTTAACGTTCAGGAAACAGGTGAAAACCTGGCTTTGGGGACTGGCATTCAACGAATGAGCCATGATCCTGTGATATGGATGGATGACAACGAATAATGACTTTGATGACGACTGACCACTGTAATCATATGATTGTATTTTTGCCATTTTAATTGTTTCAATGTTTTAATGTTTTAGTGTGATTTAGAAATATGATGTTTTAATGACAGTCTGTAATATTGATGTTGGAAACCGGCCCGAGTCCCTCGAATGGAGGTGAGAAGACCAGTACACAAAACTACCAAATAAATAAATAAATACCTTGTAAAACTACAGATCCCAGGTTTCCATAGCATTGAGCCATGGCAATTAAGGAGGTGCCAAACTGTGTTAATTCTATAATATAAATGCACTCTAAAAGAAAGTGGGGTGGGAAAAGAGAGGGAGACCCAGAGAAGAAGACTAGG